GGACAACTCGTTAGAAATACTTCACAGCAACATCTGACGGATGCATACCCCTTAAAAAGGGAAAGCTGTGTTTTCTGTTAAAGCCATTAAAAGCCACTGGTAAATATAACAGATGACACTTAACTCTTCTCCTTGGGAAGAAGCCTTCCAAACCCTCTCACAGTTGCCACCAACAGAAAGGAAGACAGAGAAATCCTAGCTGGCGACCCACCATCCCTCTCATGCCCCCTTCCCTTCGCAAGGGCGTTCCTTCGCATTGCAAACCGCGCTCTTTGCTGCAGCATTTCAGTCCCACCGTTTCTCGACAATTTCATTTCCATTCCGCTTGCAAGTCCTATGCTGCTTTTCATTGCGTTCCCAAAACGGCAGTAGGTTTTTTTCCTCCGAAGGCTGCTTTGCAACGTTGTGCTTTCTCTCACATTAGCAAAGGGTGGAAATTTCCACTGACGCACTGTTGATAACTGAAGGAGAAGGGGGGGATGGGAGGATGAGCTGTTACAGCATATCTTTATGACTCCTCGCAGAATAGGTATTTTATCTGAGGAACAAAACTGCAGTAATTGGGGACAATGCAAGGTTTTACAAACAACCACCACTCGACAACGTTAACAAGCAACGGATTGCCTTCCAGTGCCAAAAAAAAAAAAAAGAGAGAAGGAAAAGAGGGCCAGCGTAAAAAAATACTATTTCTTCATTAAAGAAAGAGAAGAAATTCACAGCTACAAAAGCAATAAACAAACGCAATTGACAATGCAATCCCCAAGGAGATCTGCAACCCTTTGCCCCCAAATAGACATATTTAAATCAGCTGTCACGAGGCTCACGGGGGTTTTTTTAATCCACCTTCAATAAGGCATGCAGCAAGCTTAATTTCAGGCAGTGATCTATGACCCGATACACAAGGCTGTAGCTACTGTTTCTGTAGTAAATAAAATCAAATCTCAGTGAGACTTAAAGATAGGGAAAAGTACAGGAATGCAGGAGGGAAACCACCTCATTCTTGCAAGGAAAAATGCAAAAGCATTTAGGCTCTCTAGGAGTCAGCCGAGTCATCAGGGGAGAAATGCAGGAAAATTCCACTGATTCACTATGAGACCACAGTTATTTTTGTCATCCTGCTCGACTGTAAATAGAAGGGTGATTTATATAAAGGAGAGCAGAATGAAACATACTAACACAATGCATTAACTGAAAAAATATTAAAAAACATATGATCTCAAATCAAGGAGAACATGCCTTCGCATACAGGCGCGAGGGAGGAAAACCAGGTTTCATTTATCCTTTTTAATATATTCAAGCCAGTAATTGTTTAAACCTTGAGTCCTAAGAATAGTCAAATATTTTGGTTTCAAATGGACAGTCTAGGACTTCAAGGAACCCTGAAAAGCACCTGGATCAAGACTCACTTTTAAATACTCCTAGAATACAACTCTGGCAGCCAGAGGAGCCAAGGGAAAAGCACACGTACGGTGGACTTGGAAGAGGCTGTGTGGTCCTGTGGTTGTGCCCAAAAAATGTCTGTATGCTTAAATTTCTCCTTTACATAATGGCAGTAAGTCTATGTAAGCTTCCCTGGTGGGGAAGTGGAAGATACAAAGGAAAGAAAACGTTCTGATGAATAGGTAGATGTGAAGCATCGAACATGGAAACAGGAACCACCTGAAGGAAAGCAAGCTGCAGCACTCGCATGAGAGCAGCTAGACATTTGTTCTCATTAAGGTAATCCTATATAAATGAAATTGTTTTGCTACCTGAATGATCACATCATCTTTGGGACCACTGCATTGCTCTGGAGAGAGGTAGTTTGCTTTTCTTCTCAACTCTGGTGGTAGCTACCCTTCCCCAGCAGGGCAGGCAGGGAAGTTCATGCGTAGAAGGATTATCATTTTGTAGCTGGAAGGACTAATACATGTGTTACATTTAGCTTTTAAAAAACAGGTATGGAATAGATAGATGTCCCTTGAATATCACAAGGACCGGGAAGTACCAGATCAAAACCAAGAGCTGGTACCTTAGTAACTAGGCTGTGCCACAGCAATGATACAAATAAGCCATAATGAGCAAGTACTTAGTAAAAAAAATTTTACCATTCATAGTCTTCAGAAATTTCATTTGCCAAATTCTATATATAGACACCTGTTATTAAGCCAATTAAATAATGGCAAGATATTTTGCAGCACTGCAGGAAAATAAAAAAAAAATACTGTTACACTGCAAAAGAGAAACCAGACTGACATATTTGGACTATTTGAAAAGTCATGTTCACTCAGCAGCATTTGGGAAGTTTGCAGAACTGTTATGAGCAAGGCTGAAGTTACACAGGGAGTATTAATTCTGCTTCTGTCAATTCTCTGCCTTCTGTATAACTCACAGCTTAAAAACCACCAAAATGGTGACTGATCCCCATCCCACTAAGCCCACTATTTAAGAGCAGCCATCACATTTGATCAATGTGCTTGCACAAGGATGCTACACGATTTAGTGCATCAGCAAATGATACTGGTGCCTCAACATCAGCAACCATTGCACCATGCCATTTCTTCTGAAAAGCACCCAAATTGCAAATTGCACTCCCACAGGTAAGGTGAGGGGAAAAAAAGCCCAACATTTCAGGTCTCTGCTACCTGAGGCATG